AATTTGACTGGATGATCTGGTGAACTGTTAAGTGCCTTCAGATGATGTGTTGTGAATTGGCGCTAAACTGATAAACTGAATTGAATTGAATTAAGGACAGTACAAAAAATGACATTTTAATTACATTTCCATTTTTTTAATATTGATTATTGGTCATATGAATCAGTCTTTAGGATATGAAAATTCAGAATTTGAAAATCTTTTTTTCTTTTCTTTGTCCAGTTTGCCAGTAAAGCAATGAGAATTGATGTCCCGGTGCTGAATAATAGCCCAACAGATTTCCTTTCACAGCAGTGCTTGTTGCTATAAGTTTCCACTTGATAATTTTGCATAAAACTTCAGTAGACGTGGCTTTGGAAAAATAAAAAGACACAGAGACAGAAAAGGAGATGAGAAAGGATAAGGGGATACAAACTAAATGGAAGAGATAAAAAGAGAGAGAGAGACTAAAGCACATAAGAAAGAAAAGTAAAAAAAGCATACAGTACAGAATAAATCCTAAAAGTTTGCTTCCACACCTGCAAGAAAAGAAAAGGAAGAGAAGAAAAACACACAAACTGTGACAGAAGAGGGAGTATCCACTGGACTCACCATAAATACATGAATACAAACATGGAAAGCAAAACTTATGCGGATTACACAACGTTGTTCAGAGATAGTTGTAGGTGCGGGTTAGCATCAAGCATGACTGTTTTTCCATGAACACGTAGATCCAACCGCCTGTGATGTAGGCGCATGAGTGTGGTTGAGTAAAAAAGGTTTATAACCCTCCTTCAGCAGAAAGATATGCTCGATAGCAGGTGTGAGGGGACCCAGACCGACCCCAAAGAGCCCAGAGCTGAGGCATGGGAGACCAGGGCCCTAGATAATCAAACGCACCCCATAGTAAAGGAGAGCAAGAACTATCCGAGATGGGCAGACTTGAACCACGGGGCCGGACCCCAGAGGCTATGGTGACTCTGTAAATCGATTTAACACATCCTCACTATAGACCCAGAGTACAAAATGATGCCACACTCCTCAGATTTTATTTAACAATGTTTTCTCTCAAGTTCTTAATCCCATTCACAACCATCTTATTGCCCTCATCCCCCTCCAACTGTGTGCTATAAAATCATAAAAAGCAAAAATCAATCCCAAACAAAAAAAAACCCTTAAAGGACTGTATTTAGAACATTGTATATTGCTGTTGTTGTGTGTGACTGTGATTGACTATAGAGCTCTGGTACATTTTAGGACAGAAACAATTAATTAGATTAATTGTGATAATTCGACTACTAAAGTAATCATAAACTAATTTAGTAATCGATTACTGGTTAACAGGAATATAGAGACTCTATACCGTGCCTTTAGCTGACAGAGCGACCCACTTAGAGGAGTACTTATACCAGGATTGCAAAAAAAATAAAAAATAAACATTTTACATTTAAGTTTTAAAAAAAATGTCTGTTAATATGCTCTATCCAGAACTCCTCAAGTGGAAAAGTTTGAGTTTCACGCGGTAGAATTTTGTAAAAAGAGTTCCATAATGAACAGATTAATCATTTTGCAAAATAATCATTAGTTGCAGCCCTAGTACACATTCAGTTAGCGATATCAGAGTAGTGTCGACAAATTAGCAGCCTCACCTGTGCCCAGCTGCCCTCCTCATTATCCTTAGTGGTAGCATGGTGGAGACAACACACCAGGTTAGCAACACAGGGGCTTATCAAACACACAGCAATTATAAATTCTGAAACACACACAAATATCTTCTCAGTTTATACTCTGCTGATGCACTAGCATTCATATCAAAAACCGAGTCCACAAGCTGCATGTGTTGCATCCAACAGCTACAATAAGAGCAAAGACGCAAGAAAGAAAAATGGTGTTAGTGTGTGATTTAGTGAGTGATTTAGTGAGTCTTTATGAAGGATCTGCAGAGGGAGAGGGAATACGTGTGTTGCTGGAGGGACTAGTGTCAGTGTGAGAAAGTGCTGGGTGGGGGTTAGCATGGAAGGGGAGCACCCAGATGGTACTGACCGCTTTGGTGGAGGAAGCCAGGTTCTCCATCTCTTCGTGAGTCACCCACACATTTCCGGAGGACTGCTCGGAGGACAGAAACACACACACACGCACACACACACAAAAACAACACCCCCACGCACACACACATACACACACAAAAACAAAGGTATCATACATCAGCACCCCAAGACACACCCAGGAGGAGACTCGCAAGCATGTTATCACACATATCATACACACACACACACACACGCACACACACGCACACACACACAGACAGACAAACGTTCGTTGAATGATGCCAAGGAAAGGGAGTGTATTTCAGGCAGGTAAGTAGGTAACTTGTAGATACATAGAGGTTTACTCATTTTGCTGTTGTTTAAAAAGTAAGACATGCAATTAAAAGCAGCTGATTGACAAAAAGCTAATTGCTGTGAAGAAGTACACCTGAGCATGCAAAGTGAGGATCATGAGTAACAACATGATCTTGAGTGCAGGAGATTGTGTGCACATGTGTAACATCTCAGGATTGGGTACTTCCTCTTAGTTCATGCTCGCTGTTTTTGGTTTCTTTTCAGCACTCTAACCCCTCAAAATGTTTCTCATTTTGTCACATCACACCAGGCTTTGCTTTATTGTGCAGCGATTTTATCAGCCACCCAAACATTTCATGCACTGGGCACTCCAACAGTTGTTGTGACTATAACAAACTGTTATTTGGGGATGTGCAATTACCATTTCTGCACATACAGAAACTTCACAACCTTGTTTTGCAAAAAAGCTCTAAGATGCATCATATTGTTTTTTGACATTTCTTTACATTTATACCCCAGTAGCTGGCTCTGATGTCATACATACGTTTTCTGAAAAATTCCCCCAACCTGTTGGCATATTATTAGTTATTTTTGCGTTTTGAGTTTTTTTTTAAAACTCTGTTGGCGGGAAAATAAAGCCCTTAGTATGTAGTGTACCCAGTTAGTGCCTTCCAGCTGAAAGTGGAAGAAAAGTTCAAGATTCAGTATGAAAAAAAGCAAAAAGAATATTTTATTCCAAGAGGGATAAAACTCCAACAGCTCTGGGAATGCAGCATGACCGTTGATGTTCACTGAAGGGAAAACTAAATCCGCCGAGGCGTCAAGATGTAGCTGCTAAGTTGATGGATGTTTGCGTAAACGTCCTTATTAATAGTAGTGATGGTGATAAAAATGCTATTCTTAGTCTCTATAGATTAAGTATAAACAATATGATGAGTAGAATCATTAATTGCTTGTTATCTTCTTGCCATGTCTCTGTTTGTGCTTGGTAGGAACAGAAATGTTATTTTTCCTTGATGTTCTGAGGATGCACAGAGTTGCTGTAGATCTGTTTATTTAACTAATATCAACTATTTATGGTAAGGCATTGCAGGACAGTCGGCTTTTATTTACTCTGCACCATCTGTCTTTGTGGGTCACTGCCAGCAGATGGCGCCACATCTGTGTATGTCTGCTCATTGCTCCCGGTGCTTTTCTATTTAGGCTAAAAAAGGACTTTCTAAAGACAATTGGTATGGACGTTTGGCGTATATACGCTTATCTTATGAAGATTAGATGGTCTTTTTTTGTTTTTAAAGCATATAACATGACTATGCACCTTTAAGCTCAGTCATAATCTGAGGAGTTTGTCTGAAAACAGCAACGCAAAAGTTCTGCAACTGATTCCAATCTGGATCTGGAGTATATTTGGATTATTCCAACACGTTGTTATGCTGAGATCTAAACCGACCCACTGCTGCTCTGGTTTGTTGTCTTTCTTGAGGGTGAACCTCCACCTCAGACTCAAGTCTTCATTAAAATCAACAACTTGTCTTCAAAGCTTGCTCTCTTATTAATTTAACCCTTCTATCCATGACCTGCTATCAAAAGTCCCTCTGCCCACAGCAGTTAATCATTGCCACATCACTATGCTTGTAGGTCATTCAGGGTGATATATAGTTGTAGTTTTTTACACAGCTTTGTGTATTACAGCTTCCAGGTTCAGTTTTTCATCTTCTTGCAGAGACCCTATGTAGTGTTTGAAAAACTGAAAATGGGACTTATTTTGGCTCTCATTGAATAGTGGCTTTATACTTCCTGAACATTACTATAATGAAGATTTATGGACTACCTGAATCAATGGAGGTTCAACAGTTCTTTTCAATCGGATGTCTGCATTTCCTCCTGAGTTACCATAATGCACATGGCCAGATCTTGTTGGTTGTCAGATGAACCGTACTCTTTAAATTTGCTGGGAATGTATTGAGCAGTAGTCTGTGAGACGTTTAAAGCCTCCGATTTTGTTTTATAGACTAATTATTTTACTTCTCAACAATTTTCCCCCTAAACTGTCTGCTTTGTTATTTGGTTGCCATGATAAAGTTTTTTTTCTGCAGATTTTTTTCTAACAACCCTTTAAGGCTATGGGGTAAAGATCACTGTAAATAAAAACGTATACATAAGTGTCTAATTTTCTTAGTCTAAGTCAATATGTGTAATTAAATAAATGTACAATTTGTTTTTGTTCCTTGTTAACAAAAATTCGTAGCGGTAAATCTGTGATTCATACTAATATATTTCTGATTTGTAATCGTACATTTCTAATTTACACTGGTAAATCTTCTTATTTTTTCTTTAAAATTTGATTCCTCCTTCTAAATTTGGGATTTTTAAGCATAGATTTCTAAGCATTCTTATGGGTTTTTGATTCTTAAATATCTGATTCTTACCTGTAAATTTCAAACTTCTATACATATATTTCTGGCTCGCACTTATAAATTTTATGATTTCTACTCTTAGATGTATGATTTCTACTCATAATTTCTGATTGTTTACAATTAATGATACATACTAGTGGAGTTGTGATTTGAACTTGTAAAATTTGGGATTCGTTTTTCTAAATTTGTAACTCATACTATTGAATCTGTGATAATGGTGAGTCCAATATATCAGTCTCACCACCATTAATTGAAAATGTGGACGAGCATGTAGGATGGCCTTAAGTAAACATATCACCAGAATTATTGACAATCTGATGCCATTGTGGGCAAATCACTCAGTGGGCAAACATTTTTCTTCTTCTCAGACAAAAACACAGAAGCAAGGCAGGGGTGCGAGTGAAATTCCTACTGTAAAATTGACTGTAGTAGCCACATTTGCTCAACCATTTCTTTGTCTAAATACGTTGTCGGCTTTTATTTTTAGGGCTTTCAGCACAAAAAATTGCACAGATTGCCGAGGCAGCGCGTTTCACTCTAGTCAGCTTCATATTCCTCTTCTACTCATTTGACTTCTGGATACACGAGTCTGAGTAGCGCCATCTCACGTGGTTTTATGGGATACCATGGTTTTAGGCGTACAAAGTGAGCAGGTAGATCACATCAGAGCGTCGGGTCGCACATCATAAAATGTGAACTTTTAAACCCTGTGATTTTGTTGTACAGTGTGAGCTGTGGCTACGTGCGACGACTGAAAAAAATCAAACAGTTTTTGTTGACTGTTATCTTACTCCGTACGAGGTCTTAACAGAACATCTGCATTCATAATGAGACTGAGCTCCTCAGGGAAAATCTTAAGGGTAATTTTGGGATAGCTGTTTTCACTGAACCGTATTTAGGTGTATTAGCGTAGAGGAGGTAAAATATTTCATAATATTCCATAAAAAAAGTGCTCTTTACGTTTATATTAAAATATTATGGGGTACTTTATGTTAATCTATCATTTAAAAAAACAACAATCAAGTAAATCTAAGTCTGTGGTTGTAATGTTAGAAAATGAGCAAAGGTTTGAGGGGGTTGGAAAGACTTTTGGAAGGTATTGTATATTACTTCACTGAACTGGTTCGTTGTGCGAAACCAGAAAAATGTTTTGGTTTACCGTTCTGGAGGTCAGCGGCGCAGAGGGGCTGGTGAGGGAAACCATTTCCTGGATGGCCAAACGCAGTTTGAGTCTGTGCAGAGGGTTGCTGATCCCAATCTCTCTCTGGATCTCTGTGTCGGACAGGGCGGACATGATGGCTCCGCTCTTCACGTTGGCACGACAGGCAGCCACATACCAGGCTGGCATCCCCACCCACAGCTGTTCAGAGCCATCAAGACAACAAACGTCAGCACTGCAGTCGCCAAAGATATGCATATCAGCGGCAACTTGAGATGAGTGCAGAAATACTAAAGCACAAAGGCAAGTTTTTCATTTTTTTTTCTTTTAGCGTCTGGTTTGGTTTAAATGGAGAATTACCTCCAGCCATGAAACCACTGTGGGACCGTCCCACTGGGCGAACGGAAGACCTCTTTTCCTTGCATCTTCCAGAAGTTCATGTCTGAATGAGTTAAACAAAAAAAAAAGAGAAAAGTTCAGCAAAAAATGAATGCAGTAAAATAACAACAAATAGAAATAACTTTAGAGCAAGTTAATGTTTTACTTTTTTTTCATCCTTCGATCCCTCTCTGCCTGCGTGCCCAGTTTACCCAGAGTCATAGTGTCTCCGATGCTCATCTCAAAGTCTGAAATACAGCAATAGCTGTTACCATCACCTAGTCCAGGCATCCCCAACCTCGGTCCTCGAGGCTCGCTGTCCTGCAGGTTTTAGAGGTTTCCTTGCTCCAGCACAGCTGATTTTAATTGAAAGCTGATTAACAGGCTTTTGGTCTACTGCAATCAGGGAAACCTCTAAAACCTGCAGGACAGTGGCCCTCGAGGACCAAGGTTAGTCTTCATCATGTGGAGCACTGTGCTTCTACTGCATGGCATTTTATAGCAAACCTGTTAAGGCTGGTAGAGACTGTCCATCCCTGCTAACAGTCTGGTCCATTCGACCTTTCTCCTTCTTCCCAAACAACCGACCGATAGATGACTTGATACCTTTCTTCTGTTTGCTGAGCCAAGCAAAAAATTGACAAAGAGTTTATACATTTGAGAAACATAAAGATACAGTAAATGATCACTTGAAGGGTTACTTTCTAGCAATAGATACATTCATTTTAAACAAATACCTTATTATATTACAAAAGATAAAAAAATTACAAATTTTAAGATTGATGTGGTGAGCTAAAAAGATGTACTAGATGTACTAGATTAAGATGTGCTTAAATTTGGTTATTTCTTATTTCGAGCTTAACTCTTTATTATTACCATGTTGAACTGATGGCATTTTTAAATTCTGAAAGGGAAATGATTTTCATTAAGGTTTCCTGGAAATACTATTCTCTTACTGCAGTAAAGTGTTGCAGAGTTTCATCAATATCATATACCAATTATAACAAGGGTAAC